TGAAGACGCAAGGGTGGCCCGGGTCCGTGGGTGCCCTAACCCAAATCCATTGACCTCTCCAGTCCTTTTCTGAAGAGTCGTTCGGCCACATGGTTAGGTACTGGGGCCGAGACTCAATCCGGTACCACCCAGAACCATGACTTCCGTGCCCACTTTGAATATTTGGCACTAGCCGATGAAGCTTTTTGAAGCAGTGCAGGTTCGGCACATACCTGAAGAACTTGCAGACCCATAAGTATGTCATCACCCTTCGGATGCTAATAGGAGTTAGCTGACATAGGGAAATATTGTAATGGATCAGCAAGTCTCGGACGAATACGTCCAAAGGGAACCTCAGCCCGTACTGAAGTTGTCTTGTGTACACCCCCACATACCCCGGGGGTGGACGATGGATTCTATCGGATGTTACGGGCATTCGGCACCAATACCCATCAGCTTCAAGGATGCCGTAATGCAACTCAATTTGTTCGGCAAACCGATACTGTTCGGCATTCTCCACCCACCATGAGTAGGGGCGGTTCTTTATCATGGCCGAAGCTACTTCGGCATTCTCTCACTCTGAAAACCCGGGAAGGATATCCCAAAGGACAGCGGGAACTTCATCGTCCCGCCCAGAAGCGCTCGGCCCCTCCGTTCTCTGAGGAGGAGCCGAGGAAATTGGAGTCGCCCTAATCCCTTCAGCAGGGTCAGACTCTGCTCTTTGTCCATTCCAGGTCCCAATCTTGTTCCTGGGATCGGGAATTGGCCTTGCTCTTCTTGGAGCACGGGCTCTACCCCTAACTCCTCGCGCCATTGATAATTTCGAAGAAAAAAGTCGAAAAAAGGGGAAGGAGTTCAAATTCGAAGAAAAATAAACTAAAATCAAAGGAATTTACCTTAATCTGAAGCGAAAGTTGCCGATTTACGAATTGGTAGCGGCGAGTCTCAGTTTCTAAACTTAATGCTCGAGGAATTTGCGAAGTTTTGATGCGGGTTCTTGGGTTCTCTCGAGAATTCTGGGTTTGTGTTGGTGAATAAGTGAGGAGAGATGACGCGCCTCTAATTATATCTCCAGAAATGGGAATACGGGGAGTCCGCGTTTCAATTTCTCTTAAATACCCCACTAAGTAACCGTTAAACATACGACCTTGCGATTAAACTGCCCATTATCCGTCCAACTTCCACAATTATCCGCCTTAACTGTTGTTATCTCATTAATTACGGATTAATTACGGTTTAAATTCAAATTTTTGGATTAATTAAATCATTCACTTCCCACCTTTTCTGATTAAATCAAACCCGACCCATCATCCTTCCAAATCGGGTCTGGGGGGCAAGTTGTTTGGGTCCAATTTAGTCCAATTGGGCCTAGGCATTAAATGATCCAATTAAAAGCCCAAGGTCAAGGTTCATCTCTCCAATTGTGCTAAAGTCAAAGATCAGTCCTCAAGGCAAGCCAATTGGGCTAAGGCCCAACTTCTTCATATATGCAAAGGTATAAAAACCATCAATATTACATTTGTACAGGGATTCAAGAAAAGCCTCAAGCAATTAATTCTCTTGCATAGTGTTCTCTTTCTACACACTGTACTGACTTTAGCATCGGAGGGGCCTTCCTCGGCAACACCCCCGAGGCTAGTTTACGTGTGTTTACTGTGCAGGAAACCTTCGGCCCAACATCACTTGGACCGAATCCAGTCTTCTCCATTTCATCGGACCTTCGACAAGGTCCCATTGTTTTCACCCGAAACACTTCCTTTTCTTCTTTGTCACTACCGCATTACTTGATAATGGAAGTATGATGTGTGGTTGAAAATAAGAATGGTGACAATTGTTTCAAAGTGGACAATACACAAGAAAGGCATGAAAAAATGGAGCAGTTCATATGTACAAGTATATTATTTGTCTAAATTTTCTCTTGGAAAGCGACTTTGTTGTGGAAACTTGCATTATTTGAGGATTTGAATACCTAATTATCCTTTTCTTGAATGTCTCTTCTAAATATAATCAACCATGCATGTGGACAACCCAAAACAAGGAGGAAGAGAGTTTGGTCTAGATCATTTGCAAACAAGGTTTGAGAGCTTCCATAATAAAACCAATTGGCAATAGCAGAATGTGCTCTTCTACCTTATAAAGTAACTATCGCTCATCTTTCTCCAATATGGGACACTCACAAGTGAGCTACAGTGGATTTCAACACATATTACTGGTAATAAGCTAGGATTTGTAATTAATCATAAGATGGAGGAGCATGTCGAAGCACTAAGTTAAAATTAATTTTGTTGTGCATAACTTTAAAAGTTGATAAGAAAAAGTCATTTATTCAGTATTTGTATGGAGTATAATAACATATATAACAAATACTACATATATTACAGGGCATCTCACTATTAAGTACTACGAGTACGAAATACATGTGCACACTGTTATCATACTTATCAAGTATTAACTACTTCCTCCGTCTATTAAAAATTACCGCACATGCTATTTTTAGGGTGCCCCTTTATATTTGACACATACGTTTTTAGGTATATATGCCTCTTATAGTCTTATTAGAGATGGATGAAGTATGGCTTAAACAACACAACATCATTACATCAAGTCATCAACACATAAAATATGAATGTTCTTCACCCGACTCACTATGTGTGCACTTCCCTACCAAATACACGCATTGGAATCCTCAAAGTTAACATAAAAAGGAAGTGACGACCCATTTCTCGTTCATCATCATCAAGCACGAGAGTCGGCCTAAATGATCAAAATCACGACCATCACCATATAGCTAGGGATATGACGGTTCCTTGATACAATTATTGGATTCTCCAAAACTCCCCCTTAAACCTTCTCAAAAATATTAGGCACTAAAATAGTCTAGATGAAATGAACAGAACAACTAGCGAACAAAATGAAAGGTAGGGATTTGTTTCCCACTTTTTAGGTTCGCTTCATGGGAAATTGTAATGCTTCTATTTGGCTAAGATGAATGTACATTTGGTATTTTCGAGAACCCTATTTTGGATTTGGCCCAACTTTTCATTTGGGCTATTAGCCATTCCTTTTTGTAAAAAACGTAGACAATGCTCAAACTGTCAAACTTGCTTCAAAACAACAACAAAAAAAAACCTCAAGCTTTAGTTAGTTCATCTTGACTTGTTGACAATGCTACTTAAATTTAACATCTAACTCTCAGATGTTCGGGCCTAGTGATTTATACCACCGCCTCCAATTTTTATTAGTTGCAATTTTGAAATATTTTATATCTTATAAATACTCGCAAGTTGCAACTAATAAAAATCGGAGGTAGTATCTAAGGTGCATATGTATTATATTTACCTTTTTCTTATATTTATCTATTTTTTGTTTACAAATGTTATTGGTTTTCATAGGGTACTCTTGAGATTAATCATTATTTTTAAATTACCCTTGTGTTTTAAAGAATTCCAACTTGGATTCCGCCCTTTCACTATTGTATCACTTTGACACTTTCTAGCCAAAACCATCCCATGAGGATATGTGACTTCGATTTATTCCCTTTTTCTTTTGTAACCACCATATTCTCCACCCCAGCCACGCCTTACTACTAACAAACCAGTCCATCACCATCCTGCCCTTGTCACCCACCACCATAGAACCGTCACACAAGTCGCAACTCCGCCGGCATTGTACACGGTGTAAAAGTACAATACACCCCATTGTATGACGTATAAAACTGGCATGAGTACATTATTACTTTAGCACATGAGAATCGTCATAGTTTAGAATATTCTATGACAATAATATAATTAAGCTTAACAATCAAAATTGACCAATTCTAATAAAATAATGGTACTAGTGCTAATTTATTTTAAAGAATCTAAAATAGTGAACGAGTAGATCTAGGTTGATGCTGAAGAATATGGCTTTAATACAAATTTGACACCCTCTATTTCCTGTCAAGTGTCAACGTATTCTTTTATTCTTTACGCCAACTTTTCCTTACCACTAAATTGGAGAACATCAACATTCTAGAAACTCCAAACTTAACTGGTCAAAAGGTCAAACACACAAACTGCTTACGTTATGTTTCAGCCGTTGGTTGGTCCGTCATTATTTAATCCTAGCCGTCTAATCAGACTGTTTGCTGGAAATAGATTTGATTTCATTATTTTTGCAATCATCGCCACCTTTGTAATTTGTTTCTCTTACTTAATAAACACATGGCATTTTTATGGCATGCAATGTGGATGGAGAAATATATGGGAGAGAATATGGGAGATTTGGGGCCCAACTCTTGATTACTCTAATTTTTTAGAATTATTTTAATTAATACTCCGTATAAAATTATGAATATTGTGTCATACCGAGTATTGTACATTGTATTACGGAGTATATGATATTTAGTATGGAGTAATACATTTTGAACTTATATTATGTCTACTAGTGCACGGGAACCTTGATTTTAAGCACATATCTACAGAATAATTTGCAACAAGTTGATCGTAAATCTTGTAATTATTTTTGTTATAGTTATGCTATACGATTAGAGAAATAGAGATTGGATCTCCTCCGCATGCTAATAGTTTAGTCAATTATGCTTCCTTTTTTTCACACGAGGAAACACCTGACGTATTTAAACAAATATAGTACACTTCTCACGATAGAGTTCCCACAATTATTAGGTACAAAGTACAATGTATATATAATCATAAATTTATTAACCAGTATAAAATAACTAATCAAATTAGTGTTTAGCCCGGGCGATGCTCCTGTCTATAAATTAAATATTATTATATTATAGTTTTCTTGTATATTATAATCTTTATACTAATAATATGTTTTAAAAAAAAATCATGGTCTATATTAAAATATTTAAGAAGAATAATTTTGTAAATGTATTAGATAGCAAAGATGATATGACTTTTTATTTATTTTCTAAAGGACCTAAGTTCAATTCTTGGCGTAAAACCGTGTATATTTCTAATTGTATGATGTGGCATCTTCTTGGTGAGGGTAGAATGTTCACAAATACGGAGTACACCATTTTTTTTATTTTTTTTGGAAGCTAGTACACCGTATTATCGTATATTGTATAATATACAGTGTATCTTTATTCTTTAACCGGCCAATGCCACGCGTAACCAATTGTCTTAAGCTCCAAGCCAAGGCTGATTTCAATGACCCTAAAAAAAATGGAAAAAGTAAAATAAAAAAGCGACTTCATCACGTTCATTTTACACCAAATTCCTTTTCCAATTTTATTGGTTGGCCTCTCTTCTCACGCTAAACGTCATTTTTTGCTCTCTCCTTCTACAAACTTCTGGTAGGAAACCTAAATCTCTCACTACTTTCTCTTACCTCCAATTTTCTCTCTCTACCTGTAACAATGGCGTTCTACGAAAAAGCTTCTAGAGCCTTCTACAATTATCCGTCGCTTTCCAAGCTCCTCGTCGTCGTAACCGTCAGGTATTGCGTCCTCTGTTCTTAAATTTTTGTTGCTTTTTTCTTGTGATTTGATTTCGTTACTGTTGTATTTTGACCGAAAATTCTGGTGAATTTGATGTATGTTGATTGAATATTGCAATTGTTGATGATTTCATCATAAATTTTTGGTGAATTCGCTTAGAAATATCGTTGAATTCATTTTGTGATGTGAACTCTGTGATTTTGCGAGATGTATGAATCAATTTTTTTTTGTTGTTGTATCTGTTTAACTTTTGAGAATTTTGTGGTGATCATACAGTTGATGTTGATTGTTTGTCGTATTCCTGTTTATTTTGATGATTTTGCTGTTAGTATGATTTACTTGATTTAATTCGTGTCTATATAAGACGTTTTAATTCTTTGTTTTGTGTGCGAAAAAATGTTAACCTTATAATATTGATTAACCTAATACTACTGATTTGGCAAGACTGCCGACTTCCAGCAAAACTTTTGAAATTTACTAATTTAAGCTCAAATTTTGGAGGAATTTGGAGATTTCGAGTTGAACCGTTAGATCGATGACCATATTGATCCTTTCTTAGCATTATATACTTTATCACTCTCAAGCTGATTTGTTAAATTATGCTTGGAAATGATCATAAATGGATATTAAAGCTCAAAATTTGGAAGACTAGGATATTTTTGAGATTAATCGTTGGAATAATGAAGATCATTGTTGCTAGTATTTGATAAGCCATGTATGATTGGTAGTGCTTGATACTTTGATCTTGTATCAAGCATTATGTGTAGTGTCGTAGTAAGGTGTTAAAATTAATTATAGTCCACTAAATAATTTTAGGTGAACTTTTTAAGATATTCTTCCTAGATGCACTCACTAAAGCATGGTGATATCACTTTGTAACGGAATGTCATTTTTAAAAGCGTACAAAGTAGGAGTTGAAAGTAACTTACAGTGCCAATTATTGGAAGAAATCAAACAGACAGAAAGTTAGACAAGAAAAGAAGCTCAACAGGCCATTGGGTATTAGGTTCAGGACTTCAGGCTAAAACAGCTCAATGATTATCCAGAGGACTCTTGGATGATATACTTTCATCTCCTGGAAGTCAAAGGAAGTAATAATTCAGCCTTGTGTTGGCTTATTTGCTTGGCTCTTAATTCTTGATATCTACTTGTATTATATAAGTTATAGATGATTTGGTGATATTGATTGATAGTGAAATGTGTTTTGAGTTACTTGTATATTGCTGGTGTGCTTGGTGAACTTAGATAGACAATTTGAGTTGTTTCAATGGGCTATCTTGCTGAACTGTTTTCTAATTTTAGAAGCTTGTGAATTAAGTTGAATCATGAGTCGTTCTTCCATAAATGCTCCGTGGTCCTTACTCTCACCTGTCATTTAATTTTTGATTTAAACAAGGTATGACAAATATTCATCCGTACTTTGTAAAAAGAAGATTTTTTGTGAACAAAAATAATTAGCAAGGATGTTTCATTAGGTTTATGTGAAATTATTCATGGTTTAGGGGCTAAAAAAAAAATTGCATACTGCACCAAGCTTATGCATAACCTGCAAGATTTGGTGTGTTTTAGATGAACAAGTCAAATATTTTTCTGTGTCTTTACTTTCTGTTTCGGGTGAAAACAATGGGACCTTGCCGAAGGTCCGATGATGCGGTGAAGACTAGATTCGGTCCAAGAAATGTTGGGCCGAAGGTTTCCTGCACAGTAAACACACGTAAACTAGCCTCGGGGGTGTTGCCGAGGAAGGCCCCTCCGATGCTAAAGTCAGTACAGTGTGTAGAAAGAGAACACTATGCAAGAGAATTAGTTGCTTGAGGCTTTTCTTGAATGAATGAGAATGAATGTAAAAATGTAATATTGATGGCTTTTTTACCTCTTCATACATGGAGAAGTTGGGCCTTAGCCCAATTGGCTTGCCTTGACGACTGATCTTTGACTTTAGCACAATTTGGAGAGATGAACCTTGACCTTGGGCTTTTAATTGGATCATTTAATGCCTAAGCCCAATTGGACTAAATTGGACCCAAACACTTTCTTTTACCTATTATGATTATTGAACTTGATTTTTCAGTAATTAAATCGTTGTATATATTATTATTTTTGTAATTTATTTTATCCTTGCTCACACATTTTCTTAATTGATGCTGTTCTCTCTGTTAGTGGAGGTGCTGGTGGGGGTCTTTTGGCTTATTCAGATTCAAAGCCACACAATGTTGAAAATGCTGTCATTTCCCCTGAAGCTGAGAAAAAGAAAAAGAAGGTGGTGGTACTCGGAACTGGTTGGGCTGGAACTAGTTTCTTGAAGAATCTGAAGAATCCTGATTATGATGTTCATGTCATAAGCCCTCGCAATTACTTTGCATTCACCCCTTTGCTACCTAGTGTCACTGTTGGTACAGTTGAAGCCCGTAGTATCTGTGAACCAATTCGTAAAATGGTTAAGAAGGTAAAGAAAACAGAATTTGAGATCGCCTGTCTGCTTAATTTCCAGATTTTTTGCCATGTCCTGATACTTTGATTTTCCAGAAAGATGTTAGCGTTAGCTACTGGGAAGCTGAATGTCTTAGTATAGATCCTGTAAGCAAGACAGTAAAATGTCGATCTACTCAAAATGCTGATTTGAATGGGAAGGCTGATTTTTCTGTGGACTATGACTACCTTGTAATTGCTATGGGAGCTCGTTCTAACACATTCAACACTCCAGGGGTAGAGGAGAATGCTCATTTCTTGAAGGTACATTATTAGATGATGCAATCTCTTATTGATAACTGTGCAGTATGAATATTTAGTATGCCCTGTTGTCTGAAGCAATTTGCCTTAGCAAGTCTAGTTTATCAGAAAACTGTTGAGGATCAGGAAAATAACTGTGTCTCGATTGCAGGAGGTGGAGGACGCTCAAAAGATCCGTCAGAGTATCATTGATTGCTTTGAGAAGGCTGCCCTCCCCACACTTAGTGATGAGGAGAGGAAGAGAATACTCCATTTTGTTGTTGTTGGCGGTGGTCCAACTGGTGTCGAGTTTGCTGCAGAACTTCATGATTTTGTCAATGAAGATTTAGTGAGATTGTATCCCAAGGTTAAAGACCTTGTGAAGATAACACTGTTGGAGGCAACAGATCATATATTGAACATGTGAGCTCATTCTCTTCCCATTTGGATGCAATACTGGTTTTTCTGTTATGTTACAGCTGCTGAGCACATGCCATTGCTTGTTATTAGAGAAGTTTTATCTGTAGTGTCTTTGATAATGACAGTTCTTTTTACACTTAAACAAGGTTGAGCTGAGCTTTCACATATCTAACTTATAATAACTAATTAGTTTAAGAGGATATCAAATATGGTAGAATTGAACATTGGACATGCATGTTAAAGCCATAGAAGACTACTGAATGCATTTGACTGTTGTGGTCGCAACTTAAGTTTGTTTCCCAAATGGATATTTTGTATAAAAAGTATAGATAAATTGTGGCTGATTACTGAAAGTGAACTTCCCTCTCTCTTGCCCCACATTATTTTCAGCTAAGTGAAATTGTACTGATCTGATTCCTTGTATATGTGTGCTGTTATAATGTTTTTATTTCTTTTTTGCAGGTTTGATAAGAGAATTACAGCATTTGCTGAGGATAAGTTTCACAGGGATGGTATCAATCTTCAAACTGGGTCAATGGTCGTGAATGTCACTAACAAAGAAATATCAACCAAAGCACTGAAGAATGGTGGGACAATATCCTCCATGCCCTATGGAATGCTGGTTTGGTCTACTGGCATTGGAGCTCGTCCAGTGATAATGGACTTCATGAAGCAAATTAATCAAGTATGTTTTCCTTAGGACTCCAACTATGTTTTTTTTTAGCAAACTAATCAAGTGTACAGAAATTTTCACTGGTGTGACCTAGAGCATCTTTCAAATTTGCACTTTCTGGGTCGTCTTTGGTCTATAGCACATGAAATTAAATTTCTATTTTGCATATGCAGGGCAAAAGGCGTGCCTTGGGAACTGATGAGTGGCTTAGAGTGGAAGGAACTGGCGAAATTTATGCATTGGGTGATTGTGCAACCATAGTCCAGCGCAAAGTCATGGTACAATTACTACAGCCATTATCTGCACTTTGATCTTATTCTTTAAGAAATTGTATTTGCCACCAGTTGTTATAGAATTGAATTGAGAAGATTATTGACACTGTAAAGTTTCTCGGTGATCTCCTTATGCACCATACTGTAATCTCCTATCTTAAAGTTGGTCGTTATATTTTTTACAGGAAGATATTGCAGATATATTCAAGAAGGCTGACAAGGATAATTCTGGAACTCTTACTGTAAAAGAGATGCAGGAACTGGTTGACGACATTCTAGAAAGATACCCCCAAATTGAACTTTACCTCAAGAACAGGAAACTGAAGAGTATTGTTGATTTGATGAAGGAAGCCAAAGGAGATGCAACCAAGGAATCCATTGAATTAAACATTGAAGAATTCAGATCAGCTCTCTCACAAGCTGATTCTCAAATGAAGAACCTTCCGGCAACTGCCCAGGTGCAACTTCGTCCATAAGATTTCAATAAATATACTGTAGATACTGTCTTGTTGCTGATTCTCATTTTATATTACTTTTGCGACTGCAATACAGGTTGCTGCTCAGCAAGGTACTTATCTAGCTGACTGCTTTAATCGTATGGAAGAGTGTGAAAAGAACCCTGAAGGCCCTATCAGAATCAGAGGAGAAGGTCAACATCGGTTCAAACCTTTCAGGTATGATATTTCTACACGATTTTCTTCTTTTCTCCATCTATATTGTTATCATTTTTCACCCATGCTTAAACACCCACACCTTGGCCATCCCACGGACTGTTACTAGCTAATGCTTGTGAGTAATCTATATATTAGTATTCTTAATCTTAGTTAGATAATACGGAGTACTTATTGGCCTGACTGGAGAACATTAAAGCTCACAAATGCTAATTTGCTTTTGGCACACAGTTCATACCCCACAGACTTTTAATAAATTGCGGGGTATTGATGTCTTGATTCAACACTTGCTGCTCCCTGGGCATTTTTGATGTTACCTCTGTCCAGTGTCCACTATATCATTGGTCTGAAATCTTACCTACAAGGCAACAACTAAAACATTTATTTGGGGAAGAAGACAAAAACTCAATTGCAGTTGTAAATATGAGCTGGAATAAAGGCTTTGACTCCGACTTTATGTGTTACTGTTACTGTCTTCTCTATGAGACAGTGATCTGGTTTTAATATCAATAATCTTGTTTATATATAATCTTCATGATATTAGCGTTCATGGTTTAGGGATGAGTTGTAAAGACTAAGGAAGTGACGGTTTATATGATCCCTCATGTCATTTAGACCTGAATTGGCATGATTTACTGCAAAAGGCAAAGCCTGTCATGAATTATGTACCGAGTTTGGTGCTGAAAATTTGTTTGCTCACAGGTATCGGCATTTTGGTCAATTTGCTCCACTGGGAGGAGAGCAAGCTGCAGCTCAACTTCCTGGAGATTGGGTGTCCATTGGACACAGCACTCAGTGGTTGTGGTACTCCGTGTACGCCAGGTACAAACATTTTTAAATTGCTTCCCTCTTGAACTCTATACATGCTGCCTATGTGCAAATTTCTTCCTATACTTATAATTAATAAACTGACATCATTTGTTCTGGAACTTCAGCAAACAAGTCAGCTGGCGTACAAGAGCTTTGGTGGTTGGAGACTGGTCGAGACGTTTCATGTTTGGTCGGGACTCAAGTCGTATTTAGATCTGCTAATGGTGGATTGCTCCAGGTTCTGATAGTGAACAATATTCGTATTAATACCAAAAACAATATTGTAATCACACGTGCATTCACGTGTCGCCATTGGAGGTGGCAAAATTTTGTCTAGATACCTTGATTCATATTTTTTGGCCCTCTTAGAACACTAGAACTTATACATTGATGATCGATACAAACTACCAACAACAAAGTGGTGAGATCAGATGCTCAAGCTGGTGTTTCTATGATAAAAAAACAGTCCTCGGCTTACACAATTTTTGGGTTAACAGAAAATTTTAGTTATTTTTCAACAGAATTTAAAGATATACTTGTATCTTGTTTGATTTTGAGATTCAAATTGCATTTTACTATGCTAGTGTGATGTAAATTGCACAGTTGCAAGAAGAGTGTTCATTCACTTCATCGGGCATTTGGGCTTAATAAAGTTACTACTCGTAGTACGGTATAATTTTTATGAAATAATAATAATAATTTCTGTATGTTTTTGTTCCTCATGTTATTAAGCTTCTTCAGGCATTGGCCCAATTGCGTGACAGTACTCTTATGGATGATTGATTATATAATTAATTAAAGTTGTGTATTGACAATTGACAAACATAAAATCTAAAAGCTGAAAGTTAATAATGGAGGAATTAACCCGTATGTGTTGTAATAAAATAGCAACATAAGTATTTATATGAGAAAATTTTTAATGGGGAATGTAGCTACATGGCCTACATAAACTCAAAGGATTCTTATATACATTCTGGTTAAATGGCTGATTGTAGATAACAATCTTTACATCAACTTCGGTAAAATTACGGTTTTAAAATTATTTGTTAGATGGTAATTTAGTTTCAAAGATGGACACTTTGCTCTATTATCAACAACCTTTATTTATGATATCTTGTCCTCAACAAATATCTCAAAAGATTATCTAGTCTCTTGAATACCTTTTAATCTTTTCCACACAAACGTTATAGACTTATAAATGGAAAGATCAATTTGATGAATTTCATGAAATTAAAAAAGTTACAATAGTTATTATTAGAGATTCATTCTTTTGACTCATCATAAAAGCCTTATTAGCTCAAGCAATAATATTTGAAAAATCCTCAAATCTACTATATTAATAATACTGGTCTTACTAGTTCATGCACTAAAGATAATATACAAGTGGTTCAATTCTCATTATTATTTTGCAAGGTACTTCTCAAATAATATGGAAGCATTACACTCTTGTCAACACGAAGACATCGAAAGCCTATTGGATCCTTGTCACGTCCTCAATATATATCAATAATGTTATGTCTATTATGAAATAATAGAGTTAACGGCTTTCTCATAACCATTCCTTAGCAAATTTCAAGCCGTTACTAATCAATTAAGGACATATAAGTGAAATCCTTTTATTTCAATATATATATACATCGTAATAAAAGAAGGTAATTTTAGATCTGCAGTATCCTATAAAATACGGGAGTTATAAATTTATTTATTTTTAAAAAAACTTGTTTTTACTTCATTTTTTTCGTAGAATCTAGAAAAAAAAAATACTCTGTAGTATACGTGTAAGTGTAAAATAACGACGTGGTTATTTTTTAATTTTAAAAAAAACAATAGCGACTCCGACGTGGTTTAAGAGTAGAGCGGATAGCCATCTTTAGTTGTCAATCATGTAAATCTTAGTGTTCCTATAATAGTCGTACATGCCTGTAAATGATGCGGTATTTTAATAAGACAAAAGGCTTATCCCTGCACTAATAATTCTCTATTGTGTGTGCTCATGCTATGTGCCTGTGCATGAACTAATATTTGCCGTTTACTTTAATTGTACTAAAGTGTCAAACCTTCTTATTTCTAAACTAATTTGCCATCATTTAATTTAATGGAAAATTGGTACTATAGATTACTGTGATAAGCGATATATGTTACTCAGCATCATGTTACATTTTTGAGTAATTTTTGTATTTTCAAAAATGTATATAAGTGATACGAAGTATATGTTACTTGTTTGGACGTTTCAAAAAGATTTATCCATATTGATCGAATATGTTCCATTTTTTACTTAATTTTTTTGGAATTAATTGGTTGTGAATAATTGATGACATAACTCCCGCCTTAAGAGGTTGTATAACAATGTACTAACACAATTTTTAAATCCTAATATGGAGTAATAGTTAGACATAAATAAGATTTAATAAAGCTTAATTAGGAGTATTGTCTCTTCCAACTTTTATTTTCCTTTTTTTTCCCCAACACCTCATACACCAAATAAATTAAAGGTTGACAAATAATATACATTTCCCCTCCATTTTCCTTTTGCCCAATTAAGAGATTGAAAGTTCAATTCTTATCTAAGTTTTATGTCTTTCCTAGCTAGAACTCAAAACAATTGAATGAAGAATATAATATACTAAATTACTAATATGCCAACATGAGATATCCATTTAAAGCACTTGTAATTACGCGCTCCGATGGTGGCTTAAAGGTCATATACCATGAAGGATTTAAATCTTACGTAACTCAATGCCCCTATAAAGGCTATAATTCATCACGCAAAAAGTATGCGAAAATATAATTATAAACAAAAAAACCTCTCTTTTTCAATGTTTTAAGTAACGAACATAATATTGTTTCAAAAAAAAAATAACGAACATAATAAATATGGAGCTAGATTCAATTTTGTATTACTAATACGAGAAAAAGTTGACATGCTTTATGATTATTTCTTCTCAAAATTTTGAAATGTTCATTATTGCATGTGATAAAGTAAATGAAGTTATATCTCATGTTTAAATTACAATCTTTCAGCCCATCCAAAACTTACCAAGATAACTTTAAAATTTAAACTTTGTGCATGTAGGACAACTATAAATAACTCATTGTTGCTTCTATAAATTATGGAGGATTATATATTACACTAACAATTACGAGTGTTGATGAACACTTTTTTAAAGCATTTTGTGAATAACTACCCGTTTTTTAAAATATTGTTTAGAGCTACCCATAAGATCGCAAAAGTTTGTCTAACACTACCCATTAACGGTTTCCGTCCAATTAAACCGTTTGTGGGGCCCACTTTTACGGATTCCCACCCAAATAACTCCCCTCTTCAACTATCTCTCTTTTCTTTATACTTTCCCTCCATTTTCGATCACTCCTCTTCTTTTACCTTTCACCATTCACCATCTTAAAATAACCTAAGTAAAATTGCAAATTCATCCCCATTTTGGAAAATTAACAAGGCCTATAACCCTTTTCTTTGTTGTCTTTCTCTTTTCTCTTCATCTTCTTGTTGCTTTGGGTAATTACATGTCAGAGAGTGAAACTATCAATGGTTAAAGGAAAGGGCAAAGTAAATGCTGAAAAATACTAAATGAAAAACAAAGATGAACGAGGTAAAATGTAGTAATTAATGTGAAATTCGTGGCTTTTGAATTATAAATTGTTGAACATGTGGAAAACCCTAAATTTTTAATTAACAAAATAAGCAAAATCCCTAATTCAATTCAAGCCATAAACCCTAGAAGTTAAAATCCCCAAACTGAAATGAAGCCCTAAACCCTGAATTGAATCCCTAATTATGTTAATTGAAGTAAATAAAGAATCCTAATTAAACCAATTAAATATACCAAGAATTGAAACAATAGCTTAAAACATCTCCTAATTTAGTGATAAATTGTGTTGAATTTAGATTTTTGGATGAATTTAGAGGGAAAGTAATGAAGGAGGAGAGAATTGAGTGGGAAATCGTAGGAGTGGGTCCCAATAACGACTCAATTGGATGGAAACCGTTTATGGGTAGTGCTAGACAAATATTTGTCATCTTATGGGTAGTTATAAACAATATTTTTTAAAAAGGGTAGTTGTTGACAAATTAGCGTATCTTTAGGGTAGTTTTACACAAAATTTCCTTTATAAAAATAAGATTCTCATTAGTCATCAGTTCATCACGCTTGATAGGTAAATTCAAAACTAAAACGATATAGTGAGGCTCAATAGTTCCCCAAAGAGTAGGGTAACTTTAATTTTATTATACAATCATTTGTACCTTACAATGGACAATAAGTTATCATATATATTTGCTCGTTACGTTTGTGCAAAACGAGTAAGATCATTTTCCTTATTTGTTTTGCTACTTACGGAGAATTTCACTTTTTATTGCATTGAGCAATTTTGATTTGTTCACTTCACTTTGTTTCTTTTCAAAATTAATTACTTAACACAAAGTATATTATCTCAAAACTAATTAATTTAAATATGAAATGGTCTCATTATGTATAATCCGTAGTTTTCTCATGTTGATAATGTCTTTGACTTGATCTAATTAATGCTAACTTTTGCTTTCCTTGCAAGCTAGAGTTGTAGCCTTTAGGTTCAATGAAAATATGATTACACTTGTAGAATAGTTAGATGCCAAGGCCACACATGATTGTTAGTAATTTGCTTTAATTGTTTCTGTCCTTTGTTCACCCCAATGTAATCCACATCAATCAATAAAGCCCGTAACAAATCATGTCCACTAGTAATTGTACTTAGATAAGGTCATGATAAGATATGAAATTCTTCTTAGATCAACAAAACAATTATGCCCGTTTAAACAATAAGCTAAGAGAGAACCACTAAGCGAAAACAATAATAAGGACAAAAATATCTACAAGTATGTACAGAGAATGATATGATTCATTTAACTTTTCGGGTAGCTAATAACCTCATAAGAGATATCTGATCCATACCGCCATACGTAAAAAAAAAAAACAAAAAAAAAATGCAACAATCTAATGGTATACACACATATACGATATATATTTTTTCTTACTATCTTTGACCTTTTAACAGTCGCAACCACAAAAATATGTCTAGCCAGAATAACGTAGCCTAACCTAATATAATGAAAACTGTCAACGAGAACCTCATGCTAGCCAATTGCTAGGTTGTTCATAAGAGAACATGGAAAAACATATTCAAAGCATATTCTAACATCAACCCTAGCTAACCCTACCAAGTGTACGTTGATAAAACATTAACCAATGATTCAATGAATTAATCTTATGTACAGAAGTAATTAAAACAACCTAAGTACAAGTACTAAGTATAATTAATACATAAAACTTCATGCATCAAAACCCAAATAAAATCATACAATCTGTTACCAGCTGTTTCTTATCTCTTCATGCAATGCTAGCTTGCTACTTACTAGTTCTTCTCTGACTTTGCGTTGTTTTTTGGATTAACATGTAGTAGTAATTAAATGATTGGATCCAAATTCTAATTAATTAAATTAAAAACAATGGTTTTTAGGAATTAGTGACTATAATTAAAACCTCTACTCGTGCGGGTAAGAGAAGCACGTGATAAATCACATGAGTGCACACGTTTGTGTCAGAAGACCAGCTAGATTTAGCCACCATCTTAGTGGGCTTAATTTGCTCTTAACCATGTTATAATACGCAAGGGACGGCGGACTAATACACATAATTATTTACGATAATACATAATATGTTTGTATGTGCATAAATATAATTAATTAAGGTGTATGATTAATATTTGCTAACAATCTTGGTCATCTATGTATTGGATTTATCAAAATAATCATATAGTATGAACTTTTAGGTGTACGGGAATTTAAGATTATTAATGCAAATACATTATCCCATGTTCATAGAACTAACACTTTAATCAACATATGAATAAAACAATAAGATGGGTGTATCTATTTATTGTCTTGTGTAAATTGATAGTATATGATGAGTTGATTACATTTCATTTTGGGTTGTAATCAATATTAGCGAAATTTGCAATGATATGATCATCATCAAGTGGACTTGTTTAGGGCTAATAATCAAGCTTATGGTGATGCTTAGCAAATGTACGTTTTGAATCATTTAATTTCTTGTAAGGTGTTTGTGCTCAAAGTTCTTTTTCATTATGTAATGTGTTGTCCGTTATATATAGCTCATTCTTGTAAAATTAATCTACACTCAAACCATTGCATGAATCCTACGATTACAATTCTATATCAATTATACTGGTATGGATTTATTTACAACTTCAGTATCTTATTATTTGCAACAAAGAGGTATTAAAAAAAATTAAATAAAAAATCTTTAATTACAAATAATAATATGTAGTATTTTTTTTTAACTTAATATTTATTTTAAGGAAAATGTTAGACATAGCCCTTAGGGCTACATATAAGCATTAAATTTATACTTGTAAATCGTAAATAGTTAAGAAATCGTCAAAATATAAACACTAATAACACTGATTTACGAGTGTTTTTGTCATTAATTCCTAATTTCATACAATTTCCAAGAGTATATTTAATGTTATATTTAATGCTTATATATAACCCTTAGGGCTACATATAACATTACCCGAATTGTACTCGTATTAAACTAACTAGAACTTTTACTCCTATATGAAGTATATACAATAGGGTAAGAAATTATTATAAATAAAGATACAAGTCAATTATTATTATTGCTATTATACAATGTAGGACCAAGTTTAATTAACTTTTTCTAATTATACTTTATAAATAATAATTGAAGGGTAAATTTGAGATGACACAATGAAGAAATAAGAAAATTGAAGGAATTATTGAAGACTTTTGAGGTGACAAGTGCCTACTCGATCGAAAACAAAGGAGGTCCGCTTGACCCAAAAATAAGTTGTTAGAGGATAAAAATCAAATGATGAACAAGTAGCTAGATAGCTAGTAGTGAAACAGTAGTATTAGCAATGTTGATAATACTAGCTAATACTGTATAATCCTATCCTTTAACATAACCATGCAACCTATTATTTTCATTTCATATCACATCTTTATTAATCTTTATATCAACAATGTCGGTGAGTATTAGTCTTGGACTTTCCATCACATTATTATTTCCATCAACATTTATACGAGTACATTATTAGTTATTAATTACTATTACTTATGATCATTTATTAAGTTATTAGCTCAACAGAATACATTAATTAGTTCCAAACTTAAAAACTATTTTTTTTTAATCCCATAATAAAGTGCATGCTTGGTTTGTTTCTATGGTCAAACTTAAGTCTTGACTATAAATTATCATGAATAATACCGAGTATATATATTTTTATCTTTTAAAAAGTAAATGAGATAAACTCTAATGAATAATGCTTGGACTTTTTTGTCTTTTTTTACCAAAATAATGTATGGACATTATAATCTTTAAAATGTTTATTTACTTATTTGTCTTCGTTAATGTTAATTGTTGTTTTTTTTTTACACTTAAAAATAGTATGTGGACACTTTATAATGGTAGAAGAGGAGAAAGAGAGAGGTGAGAACGCAGGTGAGATTGAAGAACAAAGCTCGAGGTCTTGAAGCACATCAGGTATATAACCTTTATCTCTATCTTTAATAGAGATTGTTTGGGCCAAGTCTATTGTCCTAACCCAATGACATAAAATTACGAAAATACCCCTCCATGATCCAGCACATCATTAATCATTGCAAAGTACAGATTTACCCTTAATCTGTCCTATTAAGTACAACTTATGCCACATGAAAGTACAACTATAAATAGCTCCCCAATCATTAATGATGGTATTTTTTTTTCCTAATTTTCTCTCCTTCTCTCTCTACTTTCTCTCTCTAAGTACACTCTCTCTAGAAAGTACATTCGTTGACTTAAGCATCGGAGTGGCTTTCCCGGGTCACACCCCTCGGGGTAGCTAACCTTCCTTGTTTTGCAGGCCGAGCTCTCGGAAATCATCAAGGTAGAGCCCTCGGATATACCCTTGTTAATTAGGCGGAGTCGAAGGACATTTGGACATTCATTGGACTTAGTCTTCAAGGCATCTTGTTATTATTACCCTAATCCTGAGGAGTATTGTGTTTCCAGAAACAGAGATTACTGCAATTTTGATTGTTTTTATTTAGACAATTAATTTGAGTTGGAAATAAATTAACTACTACTTTTTTCTGTCAATCTACTGTTTTCTTGTATGATGGCTTAGGTTGACGGTTACACCAATTATTTTTTCTTTGGTTAATAATATGTGAAACTGGTAGAAACAGGTAATTGTTGTAAAGTTTAGCTTAGGTGACTTGTTGAAGTACTAAAACTACTACCTTATTTGCATTTTACAATGTGTCAAAATTTAGTACATAAATCGCAATTTTTTTGTAAACTTTAGTACCTTCTATTTGTATTAAGTCATATAAAATGATATCATCTAAACACAATGTATGTATCATGTTAGTATTAAGGAAGAAAAAACATAAAACGTGTCTGATGTCTTACAAATTACAAATATAAATTACAAATAATTACAATTTTTTTTTTTTTTTTTAAAAAAAAAAGATAAAATCTTGGACTTCCATCCTCCACTCATGTTATTTCCTTGTAAGTTCATCGCCGCACGTGTTTTTTCCCTCTTGATTTAGGGTTGTGGACTTAAGGGTCTCCTATTCTACAAGCGGCCATCACTACTCATGCTTAGAGAACTCTCAATTCTACGAGGCACAATTAACACAAGCTAGTGACATATTTAAAATATTGTAATTAATAATATGGAGAAAGATTATTAATTAAGAAATAAAATGAGTATTAAAACTTTTTCAAACAAAATAGTAGTTCGGAGTTTACATAATTTAAACTATTGCTTACCTAGTTGTCTCAATACCATGTAGCAAATCAAGGAATTACTTTCATAAACTTTCTTCTAAAGTGTTACCCAAATGAGTGAATGAGCCCTTGAACAATTTGTTAAAGTTAGAATAAACTAAAATCACCACAAATAGTAATACTTGCACATTAAAACACAACTACTACTATAATTATTTCAAAAATAAAATAAAACACAACTATAATTCCCACATTCAAATATAATTAAAAATTTTAAAATCCATATTTTTACTTTTTTGGTATTATACGCCAATTAGTGATTGAAAATGAGGAATCCACAATCACTCCCATTCCTTTTGGTTTCTTTTGGGCTCTTGGAATGCTTCAAAGATTCAATTAAAAGTTAACCCAATTACATTTTCTTATTTTAATTTCTCCAAATTCACAGGTAGATTGATTCTGAAATGGCAGATCTCAGCTTCCATTAACCTTCTTTTTCTCTCTCTTACGTCATTAATCACCACCTTCATATTGGGTTCCTTTTGCTACTATATAAATCAACTCTCATCCTCTCCTTTTTTTCTCTCCCCTTTTAAAATTGCTTGTCTCCTCACAATTCTACATGTCTCTCCTTCTACCTCCATTCCGATTTTGTTTGTTATCGAGGGTGTATCTTACTCGATAATCTAGAGCCTATTAGATTCCAACTAATCCAAATTCAAGTAGAGTTTTAATATACCCTCGTTGAGGTGAATGCACTCTATATAAATCATTTTTGTTGTGATTTTTTTTTTTCAACGCCCAAGTACAAAGCACTTAGTGCGCTAGGTACAACTACTGCTTCTTCCTCTCCTCGTTGTAGGTCCATCACCTTTTATAATTTTCCTGCTCTTTTCTATTGATTATTGATATGGTTTTGGGCATTTTCCCCTTTTTTCATTATTAGCCTTTTTTTTCTCTCTCCTTCTCCCAATTGGTTTTCTTTCATTGAAATTTATCCAATTGGGTTGTTTTTTATTTCCCTTTTCCCTCATTTTTTAAAGCATTTTAGTTTGGGTTTTCAATTATTTTAGAAATGGATTGAGAAAAAAAAAAAAAAAGCAAAACCCATCAGATTTGCAAAAAAAAAAAAAAAAAAAAAAAAAAAAAAAAAATCAATTTTGTGATAAATTTCCAATTATTTTCAAAAAAAATTTGTGGGTTTTCAATAATTTCATAGATGGGTGTAAAAAAGAGCAAAGACCCATCAAATTTACCCCCAAAAATCTCATCTTTCCCTGATGAAGTGCTGGAAAAAGTTCTGGGTATGTTAGAATCTCACAAAGACAGAAGTTCAGTTTCATTAGTTTGCAAAGATTGGTATAATGCTGAGAGGTGGAGCAGAACCCATGTTTTTATTGGGAATTGTTATTCTGTAACACCTGAAATTGTTGCTAGAAGATTCCCAAAAATTAAGAGTGTAATCTTGAAAGGAAAGCCCAGATTTTCAGATTTTAATTTGGTGCCTGAAAATTGGGGAGCTGATATTCATCCATGGCTTCTTTGCTTGGCAAAAGCTTACCCTTTTTTGGAGGAATTAAGGTTGAAGAGGATGTGTCTTACTGATGAAAGTTTGGAGTTTTTGGCTTTGTCTTTCCCTAATTTTAAGAGGATTTCTGTTCTTAGTTGTGATGGGTTCAGTACTGATGGCCTTGCTGCTCTTGCCACTCACTGCAAGTATGTAAATTTATTTATTTCTTTTTTACCATTTTTTTGATGATTTTTACTGCCCTTTTGTTATGCATTTTCATGTTTTTTATGGATTATCTGGTTTTGATATATTGTGGGTTTTGTTTGATTTTTTTGCTTAATTGATTGTATGGTTCAAATGATTGATAAATTAGAGATCTGGGTCTCGAATTGGTGTAGTATATAATTTGTGAAAGATATCATCATTTTGGTACATTTAGTCCTGATTCTTGTTCATGTATAAAATGTTGGAAGAATATTGCATATCGGGAGAGTTGTTACGTGGTCGGGTTTGTATTGGACTCAAATTCTTGTATCAGACGGTCTCACGAAGTCGTATTAGGTACACAAATGGAAAGGGATGGAGTGTTTATCTTTTGCTTTCAATGGTATTGTGATGTATACGGACTGACATTATTGGTGAGTTAAAGATTTTTTGGATCCTTTTCAATTCTATTCCCTACATTGGTTGATATGACATTTGCCTTAATTAGTGATAATCAGTTGTCGCTTTTAATGTCATTGTCCTCATTAATATTGTTAGCAAGAGCCATAAAAACCACATGTTATCAGGCCATCTAATTAAGGCTTAGCTTTCTTCCTTACTCATTCTCCTCCACCCCCCACAAAAGATAAAAAAAAAGTGTTATCTTCTGAAAAATTCCTCATTCTCTTGTGTAGCTTAGTGACTGTTTGTGGCTTATGTTTGCTTGTTTCATGTCTACCTATGATCAACTAAAGATTGTGAACTTTACGTAATGAGTATTAAATGGATCAATTTCTCGACAATGTATACACTGTTTAGATTTCTCTTTCTCTCTCAAAAAAAGATTTGGGATTTGAGTGCCCTTTTTGTGGCTAATCTTATCTTTGATATTGCTCCAATAGCAAGAATTCAACATACCTAACATAGACGATATCAAATTAGGGTTAAAGTAAGTTGCGGGGTTAATTAATACACCCTATATAATTTGGACATACGTCGGGATTTCCCAAATAATCTTTCAGGTATTGTTGGTGTCTCATAATTTTGCCTTATATATAGTTGCCTTTTAAAGCTTGTATTTGGGGCTATATCTCAATACATGTTTTAAACGAGTTGATGTCTACCTATTTATTAAGTAATAATGTATAACCTATTTACGTTGTAGTGCAATGGTTGGTCTTCACATGCCTCTGAAATGGAAGTGCAAATCAAAGTCTAATGGTTGTGTAAATGCTGAGTAAATTTACAATTAAAGTAGGAACAATTTCCATCTTAGTCCGTAGCAAACATTGTGACACTCAAGCTTGTGTGTTTATTAGTTGAGTATACATTGATGATTATGATGTCTTGTCCTTTGGACCATAACTCTAGGAACTTTATGGTTTTTATTTCTTTTGAAGCTCCAATTCCATTATGTGCTCTTTGGCACTTCACCTAGCTTATGTATAAACTCTAAAAGAAAGAAGAAACGAAAAACTCCTGACATGTGAAACCTAATATTCCTATTAATTCTTGTTAGCATTTAATTGTTGATTCTTGATTGAAAAATGTCTTACACCTAGTCATTTCCGCTTCTCATTAGAGGATTTTGTAGTTATAGTCCTGATAACATTACCGAATATGTGGCCTGTTGTCCCTTATTTAAGTGCCATTGTGCTCTATATATTCCATCTTTATTTGTGTATACGGCATCGACTAGAGCCACAAGACTTCTCTACAGTCCTGTACTCCTATAGATGAATTGCTGCAAAATTTAGTTGCCTAGGGTGTTTGGCTTTCAGAGTTTCATGCTTTTTATTTATTTATTTATTTATTTATATACTCCGTATTTTTTTCTGCTCAGTTTTGATTTGTATTATAGATACAACCTTGTCTGCTGAAGTGTTTACTCTTCAGCTGTCTTTCTAAAATTCAGCATGGCATCTAGTGGACTTGACTTCATTTTAATCAAATTATAATGTTTTTTTTATTTTTTTTTTGCCAGGAACTTAGTTGAGCTCGACATTCAGGAAAACGGAATTGATGACCGCAGTGGATGTTGGTTGAGTTGCTTTCCTGAAAACTTTACTTCATTGGAAATTCTAAATTTCTCCAATCTTCATTCAGAAATCTGCTTTCCGTCCCTTGAGAGACTAGTAGCTAGGTGTAAATCTTTAAAGGTCTTAAAGGTGAACCGATCTGTGAACCTGGAGCAGCTACTGAGGTTGCTTACTCATGCTCCTCGGTTGACACAGCTAGGAACAGGTGCCTTCTCACAGGAGCTCCAGCCAGCTCAGTATTCTAGTCTTGAGAGCGTGTTTAACAACTATCACAGTCTTCAAACTATCTCTGGTTTATATGAAGCTAATCCACTCTATCTGCCTATTCTCTATCCTGCTTGCTCAGGAGTAACATTTTTGAATTTGAGCGATGTACCTTTACAATGTGATGATCTTGCTCAGCTTCTTGGTAACTGTCCAAATCTCCGACGGCTTTGGGTAGGCATCTAAATCCTTTTTCTAACATGAGACGAGATCTTTATTTTACTTGCACAGATAAGCAATCAAATCAGCTGCTCTTTCAAAATAAATTTGCTCAAATGATCTCGACATTGTTTTGTTTATTGGATGCACTGCTTGGTTTATTCATACATTTAAATGAACTTGATTCTTCTAAAGCAGTGACAAGTCTTGTCTTTGATGCACTTATGTCATGTGGATTGCCTTTCATTATTGATGACATTTGCGGTTTGATTGGTTTGATAGATGATCGAATACCAGTGCAATGAAACTAATGACCGCGTAAAAGTGACTGAATGTTGATTATACTTGCTATTGAGTTCAAAATGGATTAGAAAGTAGCTTTAACATTTGTGGCATAATTTTTTTGATTTAATAGCTTATTGTTAATAGTGTACATCTGAGTCTGAACCAAGTATTAATTAGTGGTAATAAGTGATGACTAGGTTTGCAATCCTGTAAAAGTTTGCACCTTTGTTAAGTTTAAACTTGTAGATTCAGACATATAATACTATATCTTACTTGCTCTCTGTCGTAATTTATGATTTTGTCTCTTCTGAGATAAATTTATTTTTTCAAAAGGTTATGTGATAGCTTTTACACATCCAAACAGTATTTACTGTTTGTCTTTTACACAAACTTTCTCAATGCCTTTTCTGATTAAAGTAAATAGACATTGAACTAGTTTTGATCTTGCTGCATGTACTTATGTTCTAAAATTGCATCCTTTTGTTTTAGGTGCTGGACACTGTTGGTGATAAAGGTCTGGAAGCTGTTGGGTCTAGCTGCCCTTTGCTTGAGGAACTCAGGGTATTCCCTGCAAACCCATTTGATGCTGAAGTAGTCCACGGGGTAACCGAATCTGGTTTTGTTGCGGTGTCTTATGGATGCCCAAAGCTCCACTATGTTCTCTACTTTTGTCGGCAGATGACAAATGCTGCTGTAGCAACGATTGTGAAAAACTGCCCCGACTTTACACATTTCCGCCTCTGCATAATGAATCCAGGTGAACCTGACCACTTGACTGATGAATCTATGGATGAGGCTTTTGGTTCGGTGGTAAAATCATGTAAGAAGCTCAGAAGACTTGCACTCTCCGGATTATTGACTGATTTAACATTCGAATATATTGGCAAATATGCCAAGAACTTGGAGACACTTTCTGTGGCTTTTGCTGGAAGTAGTGACTTGGCAATGCAATGTGTTCTAGCTGGCTGTCCTAAGCTGAGACGGCTTGAAATAAGGGATTGTCCCTTTGGAAATAATGCTCTTCTTTCAGGGTTGGAGAAGTATGAATCCATGAGATCTCTTTGGATGTCAGCTTGCAATGTCACAATGAATGGCTGTAGGCTGTTGGCGAAGGAAATGCCTAGGTTGAATGTTGAGGTCATAATGGATGACGATGTCAACAATGACTTTCAAGCTAGTAAAGTTTATGTTTATCGTACTGTTGCAGGACCCAGAAAAGATGCCCCTCCTTTTGTTCTCACTTTTTGAATCTATGCTTTGGTGAGTATTCATCTCTTTACTGTTTATTATGAGTGTTATTTACGGCAAGAATTTTCTGTCGTATTTTGACAACCAGCTAGATATACAGCTATAAATTTAGGTTTATGTGACATGAAAGTTTTGATATATCCCCAAGAAAATGATGCTTTTTGTTAGATGTTCAACTTCAATCTACCAAAAGTGCAATCAGTGCCGAAATCCCCTAAAATTTCTTATGAAGTTGATGTATGATTCCCCCCCCCCCCCCCATGTGCCTATTTTTAATTTTGTTGGTCCTATAGATAGATATTTTGCTGATATGATGGTATAATTTGCTCACTGGAGTCCAGTGAAGGCCGTCTTTTTGTTCAGATGAAATACTAATACTTGCTAAACTCTGTTGGCTCATCTTACACTGTATTCTCTGGTCCGTGAATCACTAAGGTTTTATGAGTTGGAACTTCTTTCGCTTGTGGCTAATGAGCCTTTATATTCTTGTGTCAAGATTGCAATTGCATATAATTAATTAGTTTTCTTGAACATATGTTGCAGGGTGAAGTATTAGAATGGTGGCGGAGAGAAAGTTAGATAACTAAAACATGATGACAGCTGCAACCTTTGTTGCTTTGCCTCGTGGACAAGGATCACAGATGGTCACATCTAAGGGTTGGTCCAGACATTATGAAGGGTCTAAATCTGTTTCTGGTCTGATCTGAAGTAATTATCAAGCTCGGCATGTGGTGTCAGTGTCCTGTATTTGTAACAAAAAAAACTACCCCAGTAACATCGGCTGTCAATTGCTGGAAATAATTGGAATAACTGAAGAAACACATCTTTGTGAAGCGACAAAGCTTGTATATGGAAGGAGCTCACTACAACTCTGTAAGAGATCAAAGGATGGCGTCAAGTCATCAACACCAGGGAAACAGGAGATTAAGATGGATCATATTCGACATATGCTTTGTATAATTCTAATCCTGTAGGGTTACTTCTACCTGTTTCAATCATTGTATTCCACTCGTGCATGGCACGATGTACATTCATAGCTTCTAAGAGCTTACTAGCAACAGGATCTGTCGGATGTTGTAATTGTTGTATTCCTGTACTTGGAATTTGGGAAAAAATTTATTTGAATGTCCCTGAGTTTACTTAAATAACATGCAGTAAGTTTTAGTAGATGTGCTAATGTGCTTGCTTAGTAATGTAATTCCATTTCTAAAACATGATGAACATTAAACGCCTTATCAAGGCAAAAAAATATAGCGATCCCTAGGCTGCTGGTTGGCTATAAAATATGCAGATGTGCCACATTTAAAACCTTTGTGCAACACTGCAACATACACCCCCATCTAGCCCCCTGTATTCTGCTGTGAAAGCATAACAAGCACGCGTGTACAACAAAGCTGTTGACGCATGGCCTTGGATCGGCTAGCTATGCATCAACACAACTCTAATAATCTACGAAATACGAAGTACTTAAGCCTCCATACTAAGTTTCGTTAGTACTAAAATTAGTCTAATGTAGCCTTAAGCTTCCGAGGCTGAACTATATCTGTTGTTAAACTGTAATAGGTTATGATTTTAGTTAAAGATGCTACACGGTTGGAAATTTGGAATTAATAAAGGAACTAAAGTAATAGTTTAACTTTTTCGAGCCTTGGGCTTTATTTTGAACAAACACACAACAACTACTGAAATGGGCAACTATAGTTCTAAACATGTCCAAGTACAAATGTGGTTTACACCACTGTTTAATGAATAAAGTCGAATCTCATCTACATCACTACTTAATGACTACAAAGGCACACCAAAGATACAATCGTTTTATTACAGCGAAGTTGCAGCACCATGCAATGACATCCTATTGTAATTCTTCTACGCAAATGTAATGCTTAATGTGTTACATACGACTGCTATAACAGCATATCATACTTTAGCTTCACAGTTATTTACATAAATCTATACTCTTCAAAAATATGACATCCCCAATTTACATAAGAGAATGCATGAGTTGGTTCATCAGATAAATGAGTCACAATTCACGACAATATTTAGTGCATTATAGTACATATAACCCACAACTTATAAAGCTTTCTAGTACATACACGGTTGCCAGATTTCTATAAAAATCGATTCTCCTTTTTCCCCTCAAATATTGTCCTATTGCAACTTTGTAGGTCAAGACCATCAACTCTTATAAGATACTTGTATTTCAGTTGAATATAGCTTGTAAGATCGTTTCAAATTTTCAATGTCGTTTAGAATGTCAAATTTTTATACATACAAAATAGGATATACTTATATTAAAGACGTGTGTTAAAATTGTATAAAGTCAAATAAGACAATCTTTAAGGAACAAAAGAAGAATAACAATAACGATGAGATTGAATCATTAAATTATCTACAAGGACTACAAGTCTACAACCCTGCAAAGTCCAAATGTATTAAATAGTTATATCTGTCCTTACACATGCAAGATGAGTATTACAATCGGAAGAATTAGCCTGCATTTTTTAGATTTATTTTTAATCTTGCATTCAAGTACTCCATGACAGTTGGCGGTTGGGATATAACCAAAAAAAAAAAAAAAATAGTTGGCGATAATTGATCTATTTGCCTAGTTGACTTACTTAAGCCTTGTTCTTTTGAGCTAATTGAATTAAATTGAATTGAAAAAAAAAAAAAAAGATGAACTAAGTTGAATTAAACTGAAAATAAGCCTAAAAAGAACAGGGCCTTAATGGCTAGTGCTAGTAAGGGAAGTCCTAATCACCAGGGTTGACCCAACGATTGGTTCTATTACTTCACATCAAGCGATGATTAACATATAAATAGTAAACTATACCTATTATCAATTAGTTTGATGAAAATTAAGAAGTCTAAGTGTGTAATTAAGATTTTCTTCCAACACGTGTTCATATACCCCAATATAACATCTGATACCATTTGTGTCACACAAGGTGTACGACCCGAATACATAATTAGGGTGGAGCCGATTGTCACGAAATATTAATGCACATCTTAAACACTATTTACACATTCAATTGCATTCTCCCTATAGTTTTCCCAACTAATTAAGTACTCATGTGTAGCACCACAATCCTTAATTAGGGTGGGTTTGATTGGCATGCGCTACGCACTTAAGGCTAATATTTAACACAAGTTCTTTCAACGCATTTTTAGAAATCTTCGTAGACATATGAAAGCCAACTTCAATTCATGCCATGCATGTTTCCAAAATGTATGCTTATTTCGTTGTCTTACACAATTTTTTTTTTCTTTCCCTTTCATTTGAGAAAACACATGTGACCATTGCAAATAAAATTATGGATGATTGAGCATGCATTTGAGCACACACAAGGCTCAATCTAAATACTATCTAATACTCGTGATACTTAATTTTTAAATATCATTTACAAAAAATTAGGTATATATAAAAATTAGGTATATAATAATGTATACATAGTAATAATGTATAATACGGGGTATATTGATACTATTGTTGAACATGAGGATCGATCAGCCACAATTTTGTCGTTTCCAAGAATTCCAACATACCATGAGGATTATATTATGAACTCTGACTATGTCTTGTATTGCACCAACACATCCACAACTATAGGGACTATAAATGCAATTATATTATCTGGCTACTGCTCTCCCTTATCTTTGTAATTCTAGCTCTAGGCCTACAAAAGGTAAGAAATGTAACACTTAAAAACATTGTTTGTCTATATTCTCCAACATAAACACTAAGTAAAATGAATTAAACTGAACTGAATTGAAATTAAGCTGAAGTAAACAGGCCAGCTTAATTATTTTCAGTTCAGCTGAGCTCCAATAAGTTCACTTCAGTTCAGTTCTTAATTACCTTCTCTTATAAAATATTCAGTTCAGTTAAGTTCTTAATTCCCTTCTCTCGTAAAATATTCAGTTCAGTTCAGCTCAGTTCAGTCAATCAGAATAGGCCTTTAGTTACAAATTTACAATTAGAATGTGTTTCAAAGTTTCCTTAGTTAAGTTAACATGGTAAATCTAAGATTTTTAAATAGTCCGGATACGAGCTTAAAATTAAAAGAAAATCAAACATTAAAAGTAAACGTGGCATAATTTCTTTTTGCCAACTAAATTTAAACTATTAATTTTCTCCACTATTTTATTAGTTTTTATACATACCACCCTTATTCTGACAACAATGCATACATGTCTACATAAAATGTGTCGAATACATCTTATTAAAAAAAAGACTACTAATGTCTACATATAATCAGCCGAATACATCTTATCTTAAAACAAACGACTACTATGTATATGCTTGATCTAATTTAATTAAAATTATCAAAATAACAGACATATTTTCAAGTGCGCCGTACAATTTTACTGAATAACTTTTTAAGTATCAGTTTTGTCAAGTCTACGACTACTAGTGTACTAAATCTATAGGTTCGTTACACACTTATATAGCTACATGTCAATAATGAGATGAATGACAACAATCCTGAATGATCCACAATTTGACAATACAAGACAAAACAACATTTGGCACATCATAATAAGTACCCAAAATAAAGTGACAAATGAATTAAAAGGCACCTTCCTATCAACTGTGAATTCACAAGTGAAGTGTACCCATTATATTAACTTTCTTTAAACATAAGAGTTTGAGTTACTTTCAAGGTTTCAACAAACACAAATTTTAAGTCATATTTAACCTATTCAATTCCATTTATCATCATTTAATTGGAAAACTACCCTTCAATTCACTCTTCTCATAATTGGTTGCTTCTTCTTGTGTAAACAAACATACTTTTCCCACTACAGGAAACACGTGATCATCAAAGGTAAAAGAAGGAAGACAAAACTCATCAACTTCACAATTTACAAACCTATGTTGTGAGCCCTACTTCACTTGACGTTCTCCATTTATGGTCCCACTTTAGCTTGTGACATGAGAAGCAATTAAGATGAATTGAAGTGTTTTTGATGTTGAAATTTAGTGCATAGTTTATCTTCTTTTGTAAAAGGTTAAATGACATAGATGTGACTCAAATTCTTTGTCATCCTTGACTATAGATAATGTTTTTTTTTTTTTTTTTTTGGGGCCGAAAAAGATGGATAATGAGATTAAAGGTCAGTATTTAACGCTTACTATCAATACATTTTATTTTGATATACTTAATTATTAATTTTAGTTTCTATAAGAGATGAATGGACGTAAGAAAATAGGATAATTAATATATATGAAGTATTTAAGAATAGAAGGGAGCACGTAATTGTAGATGATAAGGTTGGTACTTAGTCCTGTTTCATATTATTTGCAACGATTTGATATGAAGTGTATTAAGAATGAAAAATGTCTAAGGTCATGTTCTTTTGAGTTGTTCTCCTCAGCTCTACCGTGATGAAATCTGCACTGCTTTGCTTAAATCTACTCTGCAATGAGTTGGAAGTCCTGCTCTGCACTACTCTGCTAAAATCTGCTCTGCCCGAAAGCTCAAAAGAACAGGAACTAAGCGTTGTAGATAATATATAACGGAAAAAGTAAATAGGTGATTGTTTAAACAATCATACTACTTGTCCCCTTCCTTTTTGTAAGTACTCGTACATAATACTGTAATTAATAAAGTATATAAGAGTAAGAGTCTGTTTTAATTGACTGAATTGAGCTGAACTGAAATGAACTGAATATTTTATGAGAGAAGGAAATTAAGAGCTGAACTGAATAGAATTGAACTGATTGGAGCTGAACTGAACTGAACTGAAAATAAGCTGAAAAGAACAGACCATAAGTGAAATGTTCTAAATGTTCATTGTAGAGTAAATTGATAAAATTTGTGCCAAGAATAGAGAAAAGTATCGTTGAATACAATAAATCAAATAAAAAAAAATATAAATAGAAAGTAGATACATCAATAATGGATGAAATATATGGATGAGCTATTTTGTGACTTTACTATAAAGAACAAGCTCTAATACTATTGTCAAGGATTATGTCTAAAAAATAAGCACAACAAAACAAATACAAGTACAATATACGGAGTAATAATTATGAAATAATTTATGTATTATTTAATTTATGTATAATTGAGATACTACAATAATGACATGACAAATCCAATATGAAGGCAAAAGAGTATAATACATAGCAAATAAATAATCTAGTTTTTGACTTATCCTCTATAACACTATTTCTATTTATAACCTCAATCCGAGCATGCCCCAAACAACATTGATGATGAAGAGAAAATGACTAAGATATGTTTGGAAATATAACTCGATATAATAGCCCAACTAGCTAGCTAGGGGGAAAATGAATACTTTTGGATAAATTTTACTCTTAGATATACAAAAAGGATGTTTCTAGGTACAATGGTCATTTAAAATATGACTACCTAATTATTTTAATGATAAATAATATGAGCGATCCATTTTTTCACAATATAAATTGGATACAATTAGTATTCTAATTTCTACAATGCAAATATACTTTTTGAATATTTTAATCCAATATAAAATAATATTTTTCGAGAAACTATAAAATAAGAGTAAAAATTACATAAATAAAATAAAATTTTGATAAACTAAAAAAATGTTGATAATAATACTTTATAGCAAAAATAGAGTAATATAACTAATTACTTGGATAAAAATACATTAATTATGAACTATATAATCATTAAAATATTATGATAGTCATATTTCAAACGACCACGGTAGAATTTTCATATACAAACATTTCTAAATCTAAAAGTGGGAGTGGGGTTCTTATGTACCTGAGTGCACATAAAGTAAGGTACATTTCAAGATTAATTGTTGTTCATTATTATCTATATACGGAGTGTTTTTTTTGTGCATTTAAACATTTCCTTAAAAAAAATAAACAAAAAATGTTAATTAATGAGCAGAAATTACACTTAGGCGCACCTACCTACCTTACTATAGTATGCATGTAAGAATCACTCCCCTTTTCCTTTGTATACCGTAATATATACTTCTTTTTAAGCAAATATTGTAAATTAGCAAGGGAAGTATATTACTCCGTATAAATAAGATCACTCGAAGACAACACCAAGCATGTTTCATTAAAATCAAGCATGATAATTAGTTCCAAGAAATTTGTCATAATTGACCAATGGTAGTGAGACTAGAATCATAGATCCTATCAACTTTATAGCATTTGTATTTAACTTTATAAGTGGCGTATTGCCACGATAAATTTGAGTAATTGCGTTCTTTTTTTTTTTTTTTTGGTAACAAAACAAAACATAGCACTAGTAGCACTTTCAATGTTTTGGCACATTTTAAGGTATGTAAATGATTCTGATTTGCTTTGCACTTCAGGTTTCTCTATTGCAATCAGATCCTCAATTATAGTTTCAATTTAAGCCATGTGCAAAGAAAAAGAAAAAGAAGATCATTCTTATCTTTTTTTTTTTTTTTTTTTGGGGGGGGGGGGGGTTACTTAAGGCCTCAATTATTGATAAGGAGTCAAATAGATGATTCCAAACTAATTAAGATTCACATAATAATGTATGTAGTTAAACTTTATACCCCTAATTCCTTAGCCTTATTGAAAATGCATATTACATAAAACGCAAACATAAACATATCTTATTTTAAATACGTAAACATTTTATTTTTTATAACTTTATCTTGTAGTCTATCTATTTTTGATTAATTGATTGTAATAGTTGGATCAGATTTCCATTGTATACACACATTACATAATTCTTTTAATTTTATGACAAGTAAATTTATATATTTCTCTACTAGACCTGAACATCTTAGGTCAACTTTGCCTAAATTTACAAGTTAGGATATAATATTATCCAAAAGAATAAGAAAAATTAAACTTCCCCAAACTCGTAATGGACAAATCTTAAATCTCAAGATCTACACCAAGCTAAGCAACCACCATTAAAGACGTACATACACTTCTTAAGACCAAATACCATCATGTAACCTTGGCCCCTTGATTAAAGTTTGAGCACTAAAATATAGACCTTTCCTCTGAAGTTTAATGAAGAAGATGGACTATTGTTTTTATTTTCTTGACAAATATGAAGTAATATTCATGGTGAATTATTAATTGGAAAGTTTGATCTATTTCCAACGAATCATGGACCAAGTTGCAAGTAAAATACAGGTAATGCTTGCTAGGTACACCTTTGGTAAGCTATCACATTCAAAATTTTGTTCTAATTATTGATAATGATTTGAACCTTTCAGCAATTTGTAGGGCACGTAGGTCCATGCATATCCTAATTCACAGACATCTTTTGCATGGATGAAGATTTTACAAAAATAAAATACAATTCATTTCCATTGATTAGTTCATACTCCATAATATCAACGGCATATTTCACCAATGAAATTAATTAATTAGCTAGTGGAAAATAAGAGGCCGTAATCTAATAATGAAAACAAAGAGTAGTTTATGATTCTAAATTAAATGAAAAAATGTTACTAAAAAAATGCATAGTTATTTTTTAAGTAAAGATACACAAATATAATTAGTGTTGGAATACTAAGTCAGCAACAGGGCAATACAGCAGAGCAATGCCATGTCAGCAGCTTATGCAATCTCACGCAATTAGCATGCTTAACAAATTCTGTTAGAGAATAACTAACTCTAACAAACTCTTGTATATATTCTATTTTTTGCTTTGTTGTAAATTTATAATTCACATAATAAAATTTCTACTTCTCTTCTTCTTCTCTAAGTCTCCTCTCTCTTTCTCTCTCTAGAACTTTCAGCAATTCTCTGCAAATTGTGCAGAAATGAAGTTCATATTATGAACTTCAACATGGTATCAGAGCAGTAATTGATGATTTGCTCAATTTCCTCTTGAATTTCTCTGATTTTTTTTTGTCTTGAATCCAGTTAATTCTTCGAGTTTCTTCAGTAATTTTCCAATTGAATTCAATTGATTGTTGATCCAATGGCTTCAAATTCTCATTTAGAAAACAATGATCCTTCATCGAATCCGAATTCAGTTTATTATCTCAGCAATTCTGATCTCACTGCAATCAAATTAGTGACGATTGTGTTTGATGGATCGAGCTTCAACGATTGGAGACGATCAATGACGATTGCATTATCAGCTAGAAACAAGCTTAGTTTTGTTGATGGAAGTCTTAATCAACCAGCTCCTAATGCTCAAAGTTTCAGAATCTGGAACAGATGCAATGATCTGGTAATCTCCTGGATCTTGAACTCTCTCGATGCTTTTATTGCTCGTAGTGTTTTATATTTGAAAACTGCTAGACAAATATGGCTAGATCTTGAAGAACGTTTTAGTCAGTCATCAGGACCTCAGCTATTTTCTGTTCAACAACAGTTATCTGACATTTCTCAATCTGAGAATGAAGGAATTGCTGAATTTTTTACTAGAATTAAAATGTTATGGGATCAGATGGATGGTTTGGATCCTCTACCTGCTTGTATTTGTACAGGATGCAGTTGTACATTGACTCAGAAACTCTTCAAGTCTCAACAGAATCAGAGGTTGATTCATTTTCTAATGAAGGTTACAGACAAATATGCTCACACAAAGAGCACAATCCTGATGATGAATCCTTTGCCAACAGTTTCAAAGGCTTATGGATTGCTTTTACAAGAAGAAACTCATGTTAAACTCAGCAACATCAAAAATCAGTATAATAATCTTGATAATGCTGCCTTTTCTGCTAGACAGTTCAGCATCAATAAACCTCAACAATACTCTAGACAGTCAGCAGAGCATACTTCTTCTGGTTCTACAAATGCAGGTCCAAGAAATTGTGTCTATACCAGAAACAAACTGTTCTGTGACTACTGCAAGATGAGAAATCATACTAGAGATAAGTGTCTTAAGATTCATGGTTATCCTTCTGATCAGAAGGCTAAAGGCAAGAGAGTTGCAGCTTCTGTTCAAATGGATGATGTTAACATTGATTCTGATTCTGGTGATATGGTGAATATGGCCATTACCAAGGAGCAACATAAGCAAGTGATGCAATATCTTGAGAGGAAACACGCTACTGAACAAGGTGAACTCACTGGAGGTTCAAGTTCCCTTGGTTTAGCAGAAACTTCTCAACTAGCAGGTACATTTTGCCTAGCTTCTTCTTTGTCTTCTAAATGGATTCTTGATAGTGGAGCATCTGACCTCATGTGTGCTGATATTACATTGTTCTAAGCACACACTAAAACGGAACAAACTGATCGTATTATCACTATACCAGATGGAAAGAAATTAAAGGTTGAAAACATTGGAATAGTTGTTATAAATCCTGGAATAATTTTACAGAATGTCTTGCATGTACCAGGATTTCACTTCAATCTGATTTCTGTGTCTAAATTGTGTAAAGACACTTCTTGTTCTGTATCATTTACTGTTGATACATGTCTAATTCAGGGCCCTTCCTTGACCAAATCAATTGTGCTTGGTGAAATGGACAAAGGTTTATACAGTCTCACTGAAGATCTTTTGAGCTCCAGTAATAATGCATTTAACCTCACTGGTTATTGTTGTACTGCAATTGAAGAAGCTAAACTTTGGCATCTTCGTTTAGGTCACATCTCCTTTGATAAAATAAAATTTGTAAAAGGAACAGATGTACAAGGTTGTTTAGCTGAGAGTCTATGTCAAGTATGTCCTTTAGCTAAGCAAACCAGATTTTCTTTTCCAGTTAGTAGTATTAAGACTACTAGACCTTTTGAACTTCTTCATTTAGATGTATGGGGACCATATAGTCATGTAACTCATAGTGGCTGTAATCAGTTCCTAACAATTGTTGATGATTATACCAAGATGACTTGGATTCATCTTTTAAAGAATAAAACTGATTCAATTTCTGTCATGACTCAGTTTTTCTCTTATGTGAGTACTCAGTATTCTTCAAACGTTATGCCTGTTAGATCAGACAATGCTCCTGACCTTACCGAGGGTGATATGAAGAGATTGTTCATTCAGCATGGTATTCTGAATCAGAAATCCTGCAGTGATACTCCACAACAAAATGGTGTTGTGGAGAGAAAACATAAGCATCTTCTTGAAACTGGAAGAGCTCTTTTTATTCAGTCTAAGGTGCCAGCTCGTTTTTAGGGAGACTGTATACTAGCAGCAGCCTACTTGATTAATAGAATGCCCCTAAAATCAATCAATAATCTGACACCATATGAAAAACTTTATGGTTCTGCTCCTGATCTTGCTCATCTCAATGTGTTTGGTTGCCTTTGCTATATTTCTACTTCAAAAACTCATAGATCAAAATTTGATCCAAGAGCTGTTCCTTGCATCTTTCTAGGGTATCCTCCTATTCAAAAGGCTTACAGAGTTTTGAATTTAGCCACAAATAAAATTCTAATTTCAAGAGATGTTGTTTTTTATGAAAAACATTTCCCTTTTCATTTCTCATCTTCAAACAAATTTTTTCTTCCTGTTATCATTCCAATTCCTTCTCATCCTCAAGATATTCCAGAATTTTTTACTCAAACTCAAGATCAACCTCATTCTCATTCTTCTGATTCCTCTAATTCTTCTTCTCCTATTAATCATTTTACAGCAAAACATGATAGTTCAACTTCTGATATCCACACTGAACCTGTTGTTTCAGTTCCAAATAAATTTGTTATTGACAATGTTGCTCAGCCTATAAGACACTCAACTAGACCTACTAAACCTCCTTCTCATTTTTCAGATTATCACTGTTGTATTAGCACTGATTCTTGGTGTAATTTGGTCTCATTTGATTCTCTTCCTCAACATCAACAAGATGCTATCACTACTAGAAAACAGGTAAATAGCGACGGATTGCTTCCGACGGACACATTTTTCCGTCGGAAAAGGTGAAAATTCCGACGGATTTCTATTCCGTCGGATATTTCCGACGAACTTAAGAATTCCGTCGGAAATTTGCGACGGAAAATAATTCCGTCGGAATATATGTACTTTCCGCCGGAAAATTCCGCCGGAAAGTACTATTTCCGACGGAATAAAAATCCGTCGGAACTTTCCGACGGTAAATTCCGTCGGAATAATAATTTAAAAAAAAAAAAAACAAGTCCCAAACCCTATTTTTTTCCGCCTCTTTCCCCCAACACTTATTATTTCCGCCTCTTTCTTTTTCCACTTCTCCTTCTCTCTCATTTCTCTCTCCTCATTTCTGGTTTTCTCCTCCTCTCTTTCAATCTCTTTCGCCTCTCCTCTTCCATTTCCTCTTCTCTCCTCTCTTTCAATCTTTTTCGCCTCTTTCCCCCAACAACATCAACCCGCAACAACAACGACGACCGCCACAACATCAACCCGCAACAACAACAACGACCACCACAACTTCAACCCGCAACAACATCAACCCGCAACAACATCAACCCGCAACAACAACGACACAACAATTACTAAGGCGACAACCACCGTCTCGAGCCACCCACTCTCAAGGTTTTTTTTTGTAGATCTAGTTTTAATTTAGGTTAGATTGTAGATCTAGTTACTTTTTTGTAATTGTTATGTAAATTTATGAATTTTATTAGATAATTGTAATAAAATTAATGTTTTTTTTTAAACGAAATTCTGTTTTGATTTATTTTGTGTGGAATTTTTCGATTTTGTTGTTAATTTTTCGATTTTGTTGTTAATTTTTAGATTTATGGGCTAATTTTTGTTTTTGGGTGTTAATTTTCAATTTTGGGGGATTTTGGTGGTGGTGTGTGGTGTTTAATTTACTGAGTTAGTGGTGGTGGTGTTTAATTTACTAGGTTAAGATTTAATTGTTTCTTTTTTTTTGTTATTTTCGGGTTGTGATTGTATGTTGTCGTTGGCGGTGGTGGTTTTTGGTGGGTGGTGGGGTGGTTAGGGGATGGATCTGGTTTGTAGGGGATTCTGGTGAAGGTTTTGGTGGTTGGGTAGTGGGTGGTGGTGTGGGTTAGGGGGGCTGGTGGTGCGGTGTTTGGGTAAGAGGGGCTGGTGGTGTGGGGTGGTGGATGGTGGTGCGGTGTTTGGGTAAGGGGGGCTGGTGGTGTGGGGTGGTGGATGGTGGTGCGGTGGTGGTGGATAGTGGTGCGGTGTTTGGGTTAGGGGGGCTAGTGGTGTGGGGTGGTGGATGGTGGTGCGGTGGTGGGTAGGCTTTTTTTTTTATACAGATTTCCGACGGAATTTTCGTCAAAAATTTCCGGCGGATTAAAGTCTGTCGGAAATTTTCGACGGATTTTCCCAGCCCTAGAAATATCTTCCGGCGGACTGAATTCCGTCGGAATAGTGTTTCCGACGGAAATTTCGTCGGAAAAAGCTGTTTTTCCTACGAATTATATTGCGACAACCCGTTCCGATGGAATTCCGTCGGAAACACTGTTTCTGACGGAAAACAGGGTGTTTTCGACGGAATTTTTCCGTCGTTATTTGGCTGTTTTCTTGTAGTGTATACAGTCATCTCAGTCTCTCATTGAACCTACTACTTATTCAGAGGCTGCTCTTGATTCTAATTGGATCTCAGCTATACAGAAAGAGCTCACTGCTCTGGAACAGAACAATAATTGGGATATTGTTCAACTTCCCAAAGGAAAGAAGGCTATTGGCTGTAAATGGGTGTACAGAATCGAGAAAAATGCAGATGGCAGCATTGAAAGATACAAAGCTAGATTGGTTGCCAAGGGTTTCACTCAAAAGTATGGTGTTGATTATGAGGAGACTTTCTCTCCAGTTGTTAAAATGTCAACTATTAGATGCTTAATTTCTGTTGCTGCAAGAAATAATTGGAACTTGTTCCAACTGGACATTAACAATGCTTTTCTCCATGGCGCTTTAAATGAAGAGGTTTATATGAAGATTCCAGAGGGAATTTCTGCTCCTAAAGGTTCTGTTTGCAAGCTCAAGAAATCATTGTATGGTCTGAAGCAAGCTTCAAGACAATGGTTTGCAAGATTGGTTGAAGAACTCAAGTTTCAAGGGTTTTATCAATCAAAGAATGACTATTCTCTTTTCTTAAGGAAGACGATTCTGATATCACTATTATTGTTGTTTATGTTGATGATATTATCATCACTGGTTCAAATGAAGCTTTTATTGCTGCCCTAAAATCTCATTTACACAAGGTCTTAAGCATCAAGGATCTTGGTTTGTTTCATTACTTCCTTGGCATTGAAGTTAGTAAATGTGCCAATGGTTATGTCCTGTCTCATAATAAGTTCACTAAAGAATTATTAGAAGAATGTGCCTTTGATCTCTCAAAGCCTGCTAATGCTCCTTTTTCCTCAACAGTAAAGCTACACTCAGATCAGGGTGATATCTATGATAATCCAGCTCTTTACAGAAGTTTAGTTGGCAAGCTGAACTTCCTGACCAATACAAGGCATGATATAGCTTTTGCAGTTCAAACATTGAGTCAGTTCATGCACTCTCCTAGAGTACCTCATGTGATTGCTTTACAACACACTCTAAGGTATATTGCAAGCACTGCTGGTCAAGGAATTCTCCTAAGGGCTACTGATGAACTAATTCTCCAAGCTTACAGTGACTCTGACTGGGCTGCTTGTCCTTTCTCAAGGAAATCAGTTACTGGTTATGTTATGCTCCTTGGAAGATCTCCTATTTCTTGGAAATCGAAGAAACAAAGTACAACCTCTAAGAGTTCCTCAGAAGCTGAGTACAGGGTTGTCTCACAAGCAGCAAGTGAGGTTTGTTGGCCGGTAAGATTACTTGAGGAAATTGGTGTTCAGAATCTCAAGCCTGTAACCTTGTATTGTGATAATCAGTCAGCCATACATCTTGCTAAAAACCCAGTTTTTCACGAGAGAACCAAACATATAGAAGTGGACTACCACTTCACAAGAGACAAGGTCTTAGATGGGCTACTTGAGCTTTGTTATATTCCTACATCAGAGCAATTAGCTGATGTTTTAACAAAGCAACTTTCTGTCCAGCAGCAGCAATTCTTACTATCCAAACTTGGTTTGGTTCAATCACCAACCCCAAGTTTGAAGGGGGGTGTTGGAATACTAAGTCAACAACAGGGCAATACAGTAGAGCAATGCCATGTCAGCAGCTTATGCAATGTCACGCATTTAGCATGCTTAACAAATTCTGTTAGAGAATAACTAACTCTAACAAACTCTTGTATATATTCTATTTTTTGCTTTGCTGTAAATTTATAATTCACATAATAAAATTTATACTTCTCTTCTTCTTCTCTAAGTTTCCTCTCTCTTTCTCTCTCTAGAATTTTCAACAATTCTCTGCAAATAGTGCAGAAATGAAGTTCATATTCAACAATTAGATATGTCTTCTCTCAAGATTCAGACCTAATCTCTATATAGTCATGCTTTCATGCATGAAAATGGTGGATATGTAAATGTAAATATATGTACAGTTAACATATACACAAACTCAAAAAGAAACAATACGAAGTAAATTTTCAATTGTAATTTCACATTTGCAACTAATAGTCACATATACATACTTTTATTTAAAAATTCTTTGTAGTTATGTTTATAATTGATCTTCTAACTTGATAGCTCTTATACGAGTTTATGTATGAGGAAATGATGATATAAATATATAAAATAACAATTAATTATATAATTTCGAGTATGTCTTTAAATCATGCATGTTATATACTTATATATATTACATTACAAAAAAATTAGGACAACGTAACAACTAATCTAGACGAATCAATGAAGGGTAACTATCATAGGATACTTTAAATCATGTACTTTGTACGAAATAATAATACATATTGATAATTATGTACTGATAGTGCTTAATAACAATGCATGGTTGCAAAGCAAAGATATATATAATGAACACTAAACATAAAAAGCTAAGTATTAGTTTGTAGTGTCAGTCTATAAGTCGTTGAAGAAGTAA